TTCTAGCCTTTTTCCAGATAATGAGAATTAAGTGGATACTTGTCAGCCAAGGAACATCCTTATTTATTACTACAAATTCAGTTTTAGTGGCACTTATTACAGTAAGCAGGGAGGAAAACTTGTGTTGCCTCTCAGTCAGCATTATTATTGCTGGTGGTGCTTACACCCAAGGATCGACCTGACTCAGGACACCACTTCAAGAGGCCTGTATAGGCACCAAATCTCTGCCCAAACTGCTTATGATAAGAAGGACAGGGATGGGCCTTGGGAAGGTTTGGGATGTGTAGAGCAAAATTCTCACGGCAGTAAACCTTGCTTCTGGTCATCCAAGTGGTCTCAGGAACTGATTAGCTAAATAGGAAAGGAGTGAGGCAGGGTGGAGGTGTGCTGTCTCAAGTGCCCTGCACTCACCTACAGTGTGGGGCTGAAGGCACCTGTGCCTCCTCATCCTCACTGCTCAGAGAGAACAGTGGGTCCCCTTCCTGTGAACACAGAGGGGGTGGCAGGAGGCACCTGGAGCTGAGCCTGTGCAAACCAGATTGGAGAGAGAAACAGCATCTGCTACTCTTGCACAGGTCTTTGCACCCATGGAGGGACCACCTTGACCTGGCCATGGTGCTGTGTGGTGCTGTGAGGACACACCAGCTTTCAGGACTGTCCCCCAGTGTGTGCTGTGCCCAAAGCCTCCTTTTTGTCACTCAGTCTGACATGAAAAATTAATGTTGCTTCCCAGATCCAGCATCATCCAGCAGATTGGACTTTCTGAATTTGGAGTGCTAAAATCTCTCTGAAGACAACTGTCATGCCTGCATCCTCAGCCATGTCAGGTAGATGCTGCAAATGAAGACAAAAGATTAAAAATAAATATACTCATGCTGGGCAGAGAAAGTGCAAGCAGAAGAGGTTCTCAGAAGAGAACCATGCTATTGAGATCTTCAGGAGAGATGTCAGGGTGAACCTGATGCCCCGGGGTGTGAGCCAGAGCCACCAGATTTTGAGAGATATGTAGAAATAGAGGCAATGGGAGCCCTCCTGAGTCTGTAGTCAGAAACGGGCCTTGAGGATGCATGTGTGATTGTGGCATTAGGACCTGTGATGGCCCCAGAGGTGGCATCTCAGGACAGTGGCCTCTCCTTGTCCTTGTGTCAGCCCCAGGGTGCCTCTGTGGCTTTGCAGCTGGCCACAGTGTGAGTCACCACAACCATCCTGTTGTCCTATTGTGTCTGGCTGAAGGGGTAAGAAAACAAGGACACCTGGTCCTCCTGCACACTGGGATGCCTGCAACAGGGAGGCTCTGCTCTGGTGAGCCCCAGTCCCTGCCTGCAGAGCCACTCACCAGCTTGGCACAGCCACAGACACTGCAGAGGTGACACTGCAGAAGTCTGGCAGCAAACATTGCAAACCACTATTTTGAAAATGAGAGTTACTGTCATTCAGGATCAGGCTCTAAGCCCCAGGAGTGGCTTGCTGGGTCAAACCCTGCAATGCAAAGGTGCTTTCACAAGATAAATAAGAAGTAGCATTCAGCATGTTTTCCTCCTTTGGAATGAATTTTTTTTTGGCCTCTTTTCCTTGTTTGAATATTTTTCTTATTTTTCCTGTAATTCCTTTTCCCTTTTACCTCCCCAGATACGTGAAGGATTTTGTTTACAGTGCAGCCATAGATACAGTCAGCACATATTGTGAGAAACTCTAGGTAGTTCAAAAGGGACCTTTTAAAATAGATTTTTCTGCTGCTTCTATGTTAAAAGCATAAAATCTAAAGCTGGGGGTTTTTTTAACATCAGAAGTATCACTCCCCACGAATCGCTAATGCTGCCACACTGCCTGGTCCATAAACGTGGCAATCGCATGGGGTTCCAGTTAGTAGCATCTTATGAGTTTTGTCCTGATTGTTCAATCACACGAGCTAAGAAAGCTGCAAACCTTAGTCGGAAATTGTGAGAGTCGGAGAACAAAGGTGGTAGGAATCTTCTTTTTATGTATTCAGCTAGTAAGGATTACTGGGGACCTAAAACTATAATGCTCTGGTATTTTCTCTGTATGTTACGTGGGACATTTCGGTGTTTTGGTCCATTCTTAAGTGTCCGGCTGTAAACATTTTGAGGTGACAGTCAGATGTGTTACTAACATTTGCACTGGGAATTTTATTTTTTTTTTGAGATCTGCAGGCACTATGAAGGTACTCGGGCAAGTCAGAGGGACCAGCTTGTTTTTCACTTGTCCTGAGAACTGTGAAGCTCCAGGTGCTGGATGGTTAACCTAGGACTTCTGTCAAGCACTGTGCTTCTACACAGTGTTAAATAAGATAAAAAGAAAATTCTAAAGGAAGTCCAATTGCAGAAGCTGTATAGAGTGCGCAAAAAAATAAGACTTTCATTGAAAGTGAAACCAGATAGACTGTGCAATTTCCTGCTGACACAGACAATTCTTTTCTTAGCCATATCGAACAGACCCTGTGGAAAGGAATGCAAGGTGAATTCACATGAGTAATGTCAGAATTGTATCAAATATGTGATAAAAATATTGTTAAATATGTATATTTTGTACAAAACAATCTCTAAAATTTCTCATTGACAATTTGTGCTTTTAAATCAAAAAATCATTTGTTTCCATTTTTTGAAAAAAATTTAAGACAGAAAAAAATAATCAATTTTCAGCAAAATCCTCTAGTTTTACATTTAGTAAAAAATTTCAACCAAAAGAAAGGTGAAACAATTTTTTTTTCCCAAAAGAGGAATTATTTGTTACCAGGATTTGATGCACCCTAGGTATTAGCTCGGTAGATCTCCTGCTGATTTGGCCTGGTGTCAAGGAGCATTAGAGAAGAAGCTGCGTCTCTTAAATCCCTTTAAGACTCAGAATAAGTTATAAATATAAAACTTATAAATATTATATATGTCCCTCTGCACAGGATGTGGTGTCATACTGGCTCATTTAGACCAAGTCATCTCCAGAGTTTTGCCCTCCGCTGTTAACGTCCCCAAGCCATTTGGCCACTAACAGTGCTGGGCTGTCTCACAGACATGATCTCCAGAGGCTCAGCCTGTGCAGTTTTAACTTCAGAAGACCAATCATCCAGCACTGCCTCGCTGTAAGTGTGTGAACACACACTGACTCACCAGAGCCTGCTCAGCAAAAGGTCTCACAATAACACAGGCTGCCAGGAAATGCCTGTACTCTGTGATGGTTCATCCAGTGCTACACAACGACCTGTGGGATGGAGCTGGGTATGGAGGGCTTTGTCCTCTCCCACTTACTGTCATGTCACTTGTTTCCCATCACAGAGCCCTTCAGTATTATGCAGTTTAAGCAGTTTGAGATGTGTAATCGCAAGCCTGTTTGATCGGAGGAATGTGTCTCTATGTGTGTTATAGGAACTTTTGCTTTACATTTACTGACCCAAATCAATCCTGGCTTGCAGATTGGAAGAGATGGAGCCTGAAATCTGGCAAGTTCTCTTTTTTTTGTCCTCCTGAAGAGTCTGTGCTTCGCTTGGGGAAAAAGGGCTTGAGTAGTGATTTCCAATTGGTAGTTAAAAAATGTGATTGTTAGAAAACTGCAAAGATTTGAGTGATGGAACCATGGTCCACTCCCTTCTGGGAAAAAAAAAAACAAAGCACATGTAATACTGGGGCAGCAGTGTCCCTTTGAAGGCAGAGTTCAAATGAAGTAGTGAGACGGAGAGGCTTGTGATGGACAGTGCTTGTCTCACTGAACAAACACAGACCAGTCCCCTGCAAACCCCTCGATATATAATTGGCAACAGCTCACTGCAAGGAGGCACAGGAGGCTTCATCCCTGTGGGCTGCTCACATCCTTCCCATGCCCTTGCTCTCCATATCCTGAACTCATGGGGGATGTGAAATCAGGACCTTTTTAGCAGCATCAATGAAGTCCCCTGAGACTCCCTTGCACCTTGCAGCCTTGCTCACTCTTATTTTTACTTTAATGTGGGAACATCTGTAGAACACGTTGTTGTCAACATTCCAAGGGCTATGTTCAAGGTTTTGAGGAGACGTGATAAGTTAGCACTTGTGATTTCTTCTTTACAAATATGCAGTGCCCCTTTTGGGAGGCACTTCAGCAGAGCAGATGTCATGAAACCAGGAGTCCTCCAGCCCATGTCGAGGGAGGGAGTGTTTGGTTAAGGGATGTGTCTGGGGACCATGGAGCTCTGCCTGGCTCTGCTGCTGACTTGTGGGTGGCAAACCACTTCCCAGCTCAGCCCTATCTGCTCACCCAGTTCACCTTCTATCTGCTAGAACCTACTTCAAATGCAGGAGAAAAGCAGCTGCTATTCAAAGCCCAATGTAACATCTGCATTTTTACATGTATGAGAAAGCCTGGTGCAGGTGCCCTGAAAATGTAGAGACTTTTTAAACAGCTCCCTCTGCTTCAAAATGTCAAGCAAACTGGTATTATCTCAGAAAGTCATATTAACCACATAAAGCGTATACATATGCAGAGAATATATTTTTCATTATCTGTTCAGTCTTTCTGTCAGCAACAAATCTGAAAGCAAAATGTGCTGCCAAGTCATGTATTCTGATGACCTGGGAACTTCCCCATTTCCCAGGAAGATGAATTTGGGGGCACAGGAATGATTTCTAATAAACACACCGACAACAAAGATGATGGTAAAAGGAAGTGCAGCTGACCTTTTTTTTTTTTTCCAAAGGAAAGTACAGTGACTCATGTGTCAGAAAGACATGCTAACCAAAGACAGCCTGTGCCTTTTGCAATGACCACACAAACCTCTCCCCCCTGAGGGACACCTAGTGACAATTAGTTACTCTTGAAGGAACATGGTCTGTACAAATAGACACCAACATGTCTGTCCTTACAAAATGAAAATGTGAATCTGTGATTCAAAAGCTATTCTGGAAACTTAACTTGAGATATGAGATGAAATTTTCAATGTCAGAGAGAGAAATTACAAACTTTATTTTAAGGGCTAAATTCAGTGACCTTCTGATGCAATGGAAGGATAGGTGGATATGGAGGTAATATGTATTTCTCAGTTGACCTCTTTTCAAGCAACTCATTGGTATTTGCATCAGAATAAAACTGTTCGCATCTGGAGTTATCTGGGAAGAGCTTTTACCTATAGATAAGCCTGGATCTGAGGGTCATAGAGGCCACAACAGAGTATTATGTGTCCATGGACTTCTGTACATGAAACAGTATGATGCAAATAATGTGACTGGGAGATCTCATAAATCATCCTCCCTGATTTAACTGGAAAATTAGAGTTCTGAGTTGTCTCTGCCCATCACAGCCTCCCAAGGTATCACAGTTTGTACAGGCACCATTTTCTCACTGGCACACACAGGTATTTGTCAGATGTCATTGTCTGATGTCTCCTGGGTCATTGCATTTCTACCCAGGTGCAGAAAGGTAGAAGATGAGCCACGTTTCACTGCTTAGTTTCCTGGCACTGCTAACGGCTGGAGCAGTGACACCGTGCACTGAGCGAGGGCTGCGCGCGCGCAACTGCGTGTGTGTGAGTGTGTGTGTGTGTCTGCTGCTCACACATGTGACCCCTTTGATCATAGAATCATAGAACCATTAAGGTTAGAAAAGACCTCTACAATCAAAAGTGGAGAGCTAAATATAGGACAGCTGCCCTTTTTAAAGTAATCTGTTCTTTTATGAATGATGTTCAACTCTTCTTGATGGCATCAGCATCTTATTAGAGGACATATGCACCAAGTCCAAACTTTTCAGCTCATGGGATTGACATCTCTGTTTTCTGTGTGTGGAGTGGGAATTTGTGTATACAACCACAGCAGATGAGAGTAAATCAGGTAGACAGAGCCATGAACCTCTTTTCCTTCGGTAGGCCCACAGGGCTAGTGAGCAAATTAAAGTATTGCTGTAAATATCCAAGAAAAAGGAAAGAGTTACAGGTGTCAGAGCAGTGTTATGTGTGTTTTATGGCAGATGTTTCAGAACAAAAAATAATTAGGGCTTAATGTATTAATATACATCTCTGGGAAATAATCCATCATGGGGAGGGGAAGAGGGTCTGTGATCAACAAGAGGCAGCAGTGCTTGAAAGATGCTGGTGGCAGGGGTGGTGATGGCAGGGAGATTCATCGCTTAGAGCATATTTTCCTACAGTTCTGCAGTTTCATTGACTGAAAAAGCCAGGAGAAGCTTTATGAGCTAAGCAATACTTACTTGCCTGTTGCCTTTCAAGCAATTGGACTATGGACTATTCAGTGTTATGTAATGATTATTCTTTTTGTCTCTGCTTCTTTCAGCTCCAAGGCTCCTTGAAGAGAAAGTTGGTGGTTAATCTGTCACCTGTCAACAACAAGAGGCCCAATGGTGTTTCAGAGAGCTCTTTCCTTGACATTAAGAGGATAAGAGTGGGTGACAATATTGCAGTGGGACAAGGTGGACAACATGTTAACAATTGCCAAAGCCAGTCAATGTCAGGAACTATGACTGTGGGGCAAGGATCACAAAGAAAAGCCAGCAGCCTAACAAACAATACACATGCTAGTGGGAATGGCATGTTTAACATGACTTTGAAAGAGGTAAAGAAAGAACCAGGAGAAACAATGTCCTGCAGCAAACACTTAGACGGCCAGACATCCCATGAGACCATGTTCCCTAACAGATATGGGGAAGACTCCTGGGACCAAATGATGGATCTTGAGCTTCAGGAACTGTTTAATGAATTGACTAATATATCAGTGCCACCAATGAGTGATCTTGAGCTAGAGAATATGATAAATGCCACGATAAAACAAGACGAGCCATTCAACATTGACCTTGGGCAGCAGAGCCAGAGGGGCCCTGTGAGATCTCTGCAGATGGATAAGATGGTGATAAAAAGTGAATATGCACCAGGCATGAATCAGGCTCCTGTGGGCTCCCCACAGATGAGGCCTTCTTCTACAGGTTCAGCCTTCACTATGGCCACCACTGCCATGTCCACCTCTTCACCCATCCCCTCGGTGCCTCAGAATCAAACACAGGTATCACAGGTTTCTTCTGCGTCCAGTCGGCCATTGCCCAACTGGCAAGAGGTGTCTCATGCACAGCAGCTCAAACAGATCGCAGCCAACCGGCAGCAGCATGCCTTGATTCAGCAGCAACAGCAGCAGCAGAACCAGACAGCCAACTGGTCCACGCTGTCTCCATCAGGACCTTCCCCTGGACCCTTTGTGCAAGAGAAAATCCCCAGTCCTTCTTTTCGCCAGCAGCAGTTCAGCCCACAAAGCTCAGCAATTCTTGGGGTACCAGTGAATGGAAACCAGTCAAAAGGGATGAACAGCTATGTTTATAAACCAACCACTCCCCAGAGCAATCCAATGGATATAATCATGCAACAAAAGCCTCAGGACCTCAACAGGAACTTTATTAACAGCTCTCAGCCACCTCTAGAGCAACATCATGGCAACACAAAGCCTTTGTTTCACTTTAACTCAGAGCAAACAAACCAGCAGATGCCTTCAGTTTTGGGTTCCCAAAACAAGCCTGCCCTTCTGCACTACACCCAGCAGGCACAGGGTTCAACTTCCATGCAACAGCCACAGCAACAGCAGCAGCAACAACAACAGCCACAGTCACAACCTGCTCAACCTCTCCCAAACCAGTCTCTTCAGAGGCCGCCTAATGTAACCCTAGCAATGCAGCAAAAAATGATGCTTCAGAAAATGCAGCAAAGCCAGCAAATCTCAGGTTTGCAGTATCCAGTCTCTCAGCAGCATAGACAGGTAAGGCAAACAAATTCCTCCGTATTTGTTACAGAATCATTCTGATCCAACTAGTAAAAGGCTTTCCCAGCCTGGCCTCATTCCTCCAAGAGATGTTAATGACCCTCTCAGCACACACTTCTGCCCAGCTGGTGATGGCACGTTTAGCACCTATTTAGCACGTTTAGCACCTATTCTAAACATGAATGCATGTTTAGAAAAATTTCAAGAAACACATGCTTAGTGCAATGGAATGAATGTGTCAGTGCTATATATTATGTAGATACCTGTCAGAAAGGTGAGATAGTAGGGCAGATGCAAGCTTATTTTGGACTCCTATCTACGTTTTCTAGCTTACAAAAATTTAGGCTCTTTTGAAAGTCAAAATTTTAATGAATTCCCATGTTATCTTAGTAATGTATTTTACAATGTTAATTTTTATACCATCATTTTTCTCAGGGAGGCAGGGTCAGAAAATTCTGGGTTTAGATATATTTTGACTGATATGACAAAAAATATTGTTTGCACATTTGCTATCTGTTTGGCAAAGAAAATCAGACTTATCTGTGAGCTTTATAAATGCCCATCACAGTTCTGGGAATATTCTGTGGATAAAATACATGCTTAGATATGAAGGAGAAGGTTGCCACAGAAATGTCTACAATTATATACCATGTGGCCAGCTCCCACTGTGTTATCATAAGACAGTGATCTGACAAAATCTGCTTTTATAGCTTAGTTATGCTATGCCAAGTCCCTGTACACCCAAGTCTCAGATCCCAAGCTTCAGACCTGCCAATCAAAGTTAGAATGTGCAATCTCACTGTACTCCAGAATCTAGAAACCAGATGCAAAACAAGTAAAACATATTTGACCTTGGGACATTTAAGCAACTCTGAGCAGTTTCAGTGGGACTTTGGCTCAACACATTTGAAGATATGAAATCAGAATATAGGTGTGGAGATCATCTGTGGATGTAAAAACAGCTATTTCAGAAACTACTGAAAAATGAAAGCCTGTGTTTTCCGTGGAGTCCGAGAGAAGTAACACTGTGAATTAATCATTCAGAACTGGAGTTTCTTCACCAAACTGTTTGGGTGAACAGCCTGTTTTAAAAAGAGTAAATATAGTTGTATGCCTGCACACCTTTCTACTTTTAATTCTTTTAAATTTCCTGACCAAATAACCATGATTTTCTCCAACAGAAAATCCCTTAGCAAGAGGTACCAGGTGAAACCTATGGCTAGGTTTGAGAAGTTGCTTTGTTGAAAGATGCTGGAGAATGAGTGTTGGCAGGATGCAAGCACAGTTTTGTTGGTTTGTGGGAGCTGGCTGTTCTTCCTGGGCTACTGTGTGCTCTCTTCTTAGGTGCATTTCCCCATTCTCTTAATGGACTGGCGGGCAGATGAATTTTAACAGTTCCTTCATTCAGCCATGATGAACCTTCCAGCAATCTGTCAGCACAGGGGAGACAGGCAGAACTTCTGCAAACACTACTGTTTTCTGAAAAAAATTGCAAGGTCACATTCTGGAAAGAAATAAAAACATTGAGAGCAACTCTGCTTGAGGCAATGTTAGCTCCTTGCTCTGTGTCCTCTTAGGCTGCTGCTCAGGGAGGCCAGCCAACTAGATGGGACTTGGCACCTTGGCCCTAGTAGTACTTGCAAGATTTACCATGAGTGTAGCAGGACCTCTCACCTGTGCAGCCATGAGATCTTTTGGCTTAGGAAACTTGTCCTAAGTGAACTTTGCTGAGTGCCAAACTTTAGATATTACACCGAGGAAGGAGTTTTGCCTGTCATCACAGACTTCTGCAAACTAATTTTCTGAAGTTTCTTGTCATCTGACCACTTTACACAGTTGTGTCTGCAGGATGTGGCTACCTGACCCACAGCACATCTGAGAAGCTTGAAAGCTTTGTAGACACACATTACAGGGCCTTTGCAGCAAGAACACTGTTTTTTCTATGCTCTAGAGAGATAACTGGATTTTTTTTTTAGAGATCTTTAGCAGTTTTTCCAAAGTGCTGATGAAGTTCAGAAAATCAATTAGGTCTCTCTCAGCAGAGTATTTTGTAGCTGCTGGAACAAAATTTAGAAATACAATTGGTCTGTAAATTACAGAGTTTTTGAAAAGTTTGACCATAACTGTTTACCTGCAGTATTTATGAGTTCTGTGGACTCCTTTAGTGCCTGCCTGCACATCTGCAAGAGCCCACCAACCCCTTGGTCAGGGCCCACTTCTCCCATAAGTCTGAATATTAAATCAGAGGCAGAGGAGGCACCTCTAGTATTATCTTCCAATAAAGATAACAAAGGTCAAAGCAGCCTTGTGGGTTGACTGCTACTGATTTTAGCAATGGGGACATCAGCTCATTTAGGCTGCACGGTCTGCTTTCCTGAAGGATCATCTCCCACTTCGGAGGATTCCTACACATCATTAACAGTAATGCACAATTAATTATCAGCATTTACTAATTAACTTCATGATTAATATTTATTTTACTGATGGTCTATTTCTTCATGAGGAATCAAGGTTTGATTCTTCTTGGCATGATTCAGCTCCTCCTCAGATCATTGTCATCATCATCATGGCTAGGCTTCGCGAACGAAGATTTAGGGGAGATCATTGTAGTTGGGCGCTGTAAGGACCATCTCAGAACTTGCTGGAATGTTTTGTAGCTGGTAATGTGAGTGTATGTTCATAAAGGGCTGCTGTGACATTGCCATCAGATATCACTGACTAAAACTCTATAAGTTCACATTTTTAGAGAACCAGCTCATCCTCTGGGTTTTTACTCCCCAAGCTTTAAGATCCCCAAAACCCATTTGAACTTGGCTTTATCAGTCCAAGCTGGCTAACTGGAAATGTAAGGCTTACAATCTCTCTGCTTGTCATATTCCCTTTGTGTCAAATTGAAAGAAACTTACAGTGGGATTTGCTAATTAGATGTCTTTTGCCTCTAGGGAAAAGTCATAAAAATGATGGAAACCATCTTGGTTTCCTGGAAGATTGATCTGAATGAAGGGGTTTTTTGCCTCTCTCTTTTATTCTCCTTTGTTATGGGAAAGATTCCTTTGCATTGTCTATTAGAATGCAATATACACATAGTCATGAAAAATCTCATAGAAATTCAACACTCTCTTTGTTTAGGGAATAATTAGAAGCTCCAAATTCTACACAGGTATAATCAGGTTTGCAATACTTATACAGAACCTGAGCTGAAAATCTGTAACTAGGCTTGGGTAGAAGTTTGAAGTCTAGCTTTCCCCTTGTGAGGAAATTTAGTCCAGTCAGTGAAGAATGCTTCGAAGTAAGACTTAAGGTTTTTGAATGAAAAATTCAATGTTTTTAACTAGTCTAAGAAATTCCGCTCACATTTTTGAAAGCTTTTGATAAGACATAAGACTGGCTACTTATGAAGAATTTACAAAGAGAGCTAGGTCATGCAGGAAAAAAATTAGGGAAAGAAAAGTGGAATTTGAAGTTAATTTGGCTAATTCAGTTAGGGATAACAAAAATTCCTTTTATAAATACATTAATAGCAAAAGGAGGGGCAAGGAAAACCTCAATTCTCTGTTGGACTTGGAGGGAAATATAGTTAACAAAGATGAGGAGAAGGCTGAGGTACTTAACACCTACTTTGCCTCAGTTTTTAGCAGTAAGACAGGTGGCCCTCAGGACAACTGGCCTCTAGAGCAGATAGACAGAGACAGAGAGCTGAATAGCCCTCCTGTATTCCAGGAGGATGTAGTTAGCAACTTACTGAGCCAGCTGGATCCTAACAAGTCTATGGGACCAGACGGGATCCATCCCAGGGTGATGAGGGAGCTGGCAGAAGAGCTTGCCAAACCGCTCTCCATCATCTTCCAACAGTCCTGGCTCTCTGGGAAGGTCCCAGATGATTGGAGGTTGGCGAATGTCACCCCAATCCACAAAAAAGGCTGCAAGCAGGACCCTGGCAACTACAGGCCTGTCAGCCTGACCTCGGTGCCTGGCAGGGTTATGGAGCAGATCATCCTGAGTGCAATCACACAGCACCTTCAGGATGGACAAGGGATTAGACCCAGCCAGCACGGGTTAGGAGGGGCAGGTCCTGTCTGACCAACCTGATCTCTTTTTACGATCAGGTGACCCACCTGGTGGATGAGGGGAAGGCTGTGGATGTGGTCTATCTAGACTTCAGCAAGGCCTTTGACACTGTCTCCCATAATATACTCCTGGAAAAGCTGGTAGCCCATGGCTTGGACAAGTGTACCCTCTCCTGGATTAGGAGCTGGCTGGAGGGTCGGGCCCAGAGAGTGCTGGTGAATGGAGCTGCATCCAGCTGGCAGCCGGTCACCAGTGGTGTTCCCCAGGGGTCTGTGTTGGGTCCAGTCCTGTTTAACATCTTTATTGATGATTTAGATGAGGGGATTGAGTCCATCATCAGCAAATTTGCTGATGACACCAAACTGGGAGGGAGTGTCGACCTGCTGGAAGGCAGGAGGGCTCTGCAGAGGGATCTGGATAGACTTGAGAGATGGGCTGATTCCAATGGGATGAAGTTCAATAAAGCCAAGTGTCGGGTCCTGCACTTTGGCCACAACAACCCCCTGCAGCGCTACAGGCTGGGCACAGAGTGGCTGGAAAGCAGCCAGGCAGAAAGGGACCTGGGGGTACTAATTGACAGGAAGCTCAACATGAGCCAACAGTATGCCCAGGTGGCCAAGAAGGCCAATGGGATCTTGTCCTGTATCAAAAATAGCGTGGCCAGCAGGACCAGGGAAGTGATCCTTCCCCTGTACTCTGCGTTGATGAGGCCACACCTTGAGTATTGTGTTCAGTTCTGGACCCCTCAGTTCAGAAAGGATGTTGAGGTGCTGGAGCGGGTCCAGAGAAGAGCAACAAGGCTGGTGAAGGGACTGGAGCATAAGTCCTATGGGGAGAGGCTGAGGGAGCTGGGGTTGTTTAGCCTGGAGAAGAGAAGGCTCAGAGGTGACCTCATCACCGTCTATAACTACCTGAAGGGAAGTTCTAGC